GCCAAAGCAGCTATTGTCTCCAGGAGAACTGATCTTGGTCATCTGGACATCAGTTGTAATAGCTGGAGATCTCCAGGTGCCGCCTGGAGGTTGGCTTATGTTAATTTGGGTCTATGCAGTGGCAGATAAGGTAGAAAAGCACCTCCTCCTATGCCATGTCTTCTGGGTTCCAAGGGTCTGGAAAGTGGTTCCATAGCCAGTTACACAGTTGCCAACTCTGGGTTGGGAAATACCTGTAGATTTGAGGGGTAGAGCCTGGGAGGGCAGGTTTTGGGGTGGGGAGGGACCTATGGTATAATGCCATAGGGTCCACTGGCCAAAGCAGTCATTGTCTCCAGGATAACTGATCTTGGTCATCTGGACATCAGTTGTAATAGCTGAGAAATTTTCTGTAGGGGAAATGATGTTCTGTGGCCAGGGAGATCTCCAGGCCCCACAGGGAGATTGGGATATGTATTTTACCTCAGGACTCCCAACAGCAACAGCAGACTATTTAGAATGTTAGGGGCAAAGGCCAATCAGGCCACATATGCAAATGACCTCTGGGTTCTGACTGGCTATGGGGGGAGAGGAACAGCAAACTGTTTAGAATGTTGGAGGCAGGACTCAGGCAATGCAGCCAGTGGATAGGGAGACTCTCTGAATGACAGATCATTCAGCCAACTGATTTCGGAGTGTGTTGGAATGTTCAGAGGAGTCCATGACCAAAACAAAATTATATATAAGGAGAGATGAGAAAAAAAAATCTTCCTTTTCATATTTAGTGTTGGGGTTATTTGTTTTCCTTTGTTTGCGTTGTGCTTTTTTTTTACAAAAATCTGCCTCATCTTAAATGTATTAGTTTTACAAAATGATCCTGGATCACTTTTCTCCCCCGCCCTAGCTCAGCATTATCTGACTGACAGCAGCTTTCCAGCTTCTCAGTCAGAGAAAAGTCTTTCCTAACCAGGACCTGTTGCTTGAGGTCTTTAACTAGAGATGCCAGAAACTGAAAGTGGGCCCCCCTGCTTACTAAGCATGTGCTCTGCAACTAAAGGGTGGCCTCTTCTCTTTGCACTCCTCACGGCCAAAAGACCACACAACTCTTAGGAAGTCTTGCCTTGCGTTGTGGTTACTGAGAGCGAGGTGCACGGGTGACCGCCATCTTTCTGCACGCAGGCCATGAAACATCCAATCAATGACAGACCATCTTGTTTCCAATGCCCAGCCATGAAAGTTCTCCTTTTAATCTTTCTTCTTCTAGAGGGAAAAACAAAAGGTATCCCCTTCACCTCCGATAACCCTTTTCTCCATGCATGCTCCTTAGAGAGCCCGCTTCAGTATAAAAGCACACAGGGCAGTGGGTAATTGAGTAGGTCCCCACCACCGCCGCCGCCGCCTCCCCTGGCCTGACTTACAATGTCTGCCTTGATGGGTTTAACCAGGCAATTCAAGCATAAAATCCATATTCACTGAGCTGTCATTTAACATTTAAAAAGAGCAGGGGGATTGTCTGGGTGGGTCAGCCATACTAAATGCTATGCCATTTATTTATAGAGCACCCAGTAGTGGATTTTCGTAGAGGAGTCGCTGCTCTTTAAGCTCATGGCATTTTCTTCCCCCCCAGAGCTCAGTTTGATCATGCTTCACTTTTGTCCCTGCAAGATTTCTTTTATGTCCAGTTTTCCCCCCTCAAAGTTCACTCTCATGTGACCTATTAACTGTGCATCGGTACATATGATTTATATAAGAGCTGAAATTATAGTGATACAGGGATACAATTAGCAAAGCCTGCTGGAAAATTCCTCCAATTGGCAAATAGAGACTTAAGCGTTTTGGAAGTCATCGCAGAGGATGGAGAGCACTTCTGTCACCGAAAGGTGTCTTGCGTATTTCAGTGCCAGGTCATTTGTGGCTTGCAGCACATTCCTGCTTCAAGTAAAATGCCGGCGGTCTAGGTGGATCGACTAATGGCCATAACATTGGTTATTTTCTCAGACCTTTTGTTCCTCTTGTACAGTCTCACATACAAGATTCGAGAGATTTCATTAACAAATTGAAAGATATACTGTAGGTAGAAATGGATGACCTTTTGTTCACATTTAGATGATCTTTGCACACTAATATTCCCTGATGGATGCTTTGGCAAACACAGAAGATACTTCCAAGGGGGGCCTTGGATGATTACGTCCAGACCAGTTTTTGGTACAATTGGCTTAGATTTATTTATTTATGATATATTTTATTTACAGAATTTGTATCCCACCTCATCAGGGCCACAAAGGTAACTAACAGATGAAAGATCGATAATAAAAACATATTTTGAAAGCTATTTGAACAATGAAAATCAAGTTAAAATCCCCATGCAATACAATAAAATACATATACATTAAAGCAACAGTCAAAACAGGGCAGGAAGGATGGAACAATGAGGGAATGCCAGGCAGAACACAGCAGCAGCAACAGGAAGAGAACAGGCAAGTCTCTCTAGGGAGAGAGTTCCAGAGGTTTGGTGCTGTGACCAAGAAGGCTCTGTCCCGGGTTGCCACCAGTCTAATCTCAAAAGGAAGGTAAACCCAAGCAGGGCCTTGGATGATTACTCTTAGTGTTCATAAGGGAATAGGTGGTCCTTCAGGAATGCTGGTCCTAAACCATGTAGGGACTTAAATGTGAACATCAGAATCTTGAATTATACCTGGAAGAAGGTTGGGAACCAGTGTAGATGGAGGCCTGGAGAGATGTGGTACCCACCCACTCCCGTCAGCATCCTGGCTGCAGCATCCTGCGCTAATTAAAGTTTCTGAACAAGTAGAGTTTATTGCAGTAATCTAATCTAGATGTAAGTAGAAGAAGAGTTGGTTTTATACCCTGCTCTTCACTACCCGAAGGAGTCTCAGAGTGGCTTACAATCACCTTCCCTTCCTCTCCCCACAACAGACATCCTGTGAGGGTAGGTGGGGCTGAGAGAGCTCTGAGAGAACTGTGACTGACCCAAGGTCACCCAGCTGGCTTCCCACGGAGGAGTGGGGAATCAAACCCGGTTCTCCAGATTAGAGTCCGCCGCTCTTATCCACTACACCAAGCTGGTTCCAGAGCATGCACCAGGGTAACCAGGGCATGTACCACAGCCAGATCGTTTCTATCCAGGAAAGCCTTCAGTTGGCTAACCAGCAAAAGCTGGTAAAAGGCATTCTTGGCGACAGCTGCCACCTGCTTGTCCAGTAGTAGGCCTGGGTCCAAGAGCACCCCAGACTACAGAGCTGTTCCTGCCAAGGGAATACAATCCCATCCAGAACGGGTGTCACCTGATGTACCTGGTTAGACTTCCCACTCACCAGTAGTGCTTCCATTTTGTTGGGATTATGCTTTAGGTTATTAGCCCACATCTGCTCCAGAACTGCCCCAGGTACCAGTCCAGGGTTTCTGCAGCCCCCCTCTGTCCATCTCCTGGCACAGGTCATCCACCAGAGCAACCAAGGCTTTTTCAGTCTCATAACCAGGCCTGAAACCAGCTTCGTTAGGATCCAAACAGTCCACTTCACCCAGGCATGCCAATAGCATCGAAATT